TTGATTCCAAATATCTATTAAATGTTTATTGTACTTAGTAAAGTCGTGTACACAAAATTTTACTCTGTTTGAAATATTTTATTTATTTACGGTGTTTTGGTGAAACGATCAATGATGCTTTGTACATAATTACCTACTTAATTCATAATTCGATCTGTTACATTTATGTAGATTGATGGTCTTTTCTGGTTTTCACTTGTTAACCCACTTTAGACTACCAGAGCAAGTTTTCTGTAGGTTCTGGAACTTTTGTTTAGTCTTTTATATATACAATACTGTTTATTGTTGATTTCACTTGGTCATTTATACAACATGAATTAGTTAGTTTCAGAAGTTTGTTGTGCTACTAATTATCAAAATCCCACTTACGTTAGAATCCCGCTAAAAAAATCAAGGCTTTGATCATGAAAGAAATGTGTTTTCGCTTTTAGTATATCTCAGTCCTAATAAGTCAGTTCTCTTTCCTATTGTAAGATAGGATTATTCGACTATAAACATGAACTCCCGGTGTTGTTTTTAGGTAATTTTATAAAAGCCCAAGATAAATAATTTACTTATTTGGAACATTCAGATGCTTGATGATGAGCTCTGCTGTTTTAAAAAAATTCTAGATTGCTGTTTATTGAATAGAAAGATTATTTGTTTGTTTAATTAGTCAACATTTTCGGGTATTACTGCTTCACTAAAAGTAATTTATCCGAAAATTTGTTTGTTAACTTACCTTTACTTTGGCTAAAGAACATTATTAGATCTGTAGTAGAAATAAGGTGAAGTATAATATAAGTATAAGAAGTTTAATAATATAAAAGGTGACAACACTAAATTCGATTTTTAAAGATCTTTGGGTACATCATCGTCAATTTTTATCTATTTAAAATGTTCTACTAAGGCTCCGCAACTCCACATACTTAGTGGAGGAATAATACAATTGTAGCTCTCAAAACTTATTTTATTTACGATAAAATTGGCTGGTTTAAACAGTTCTAAGGGTTGCCAACAAAAATTCGAACCAACTAAGCGTTTATTAATTGCAATAACCTCATCAAAATACCAAAGAGAGGCGATCTCAACAGATATGATATCTACAGGGGCATCACTTTTCTCATAATACCAGGCAAATTCTTCAGCAAGGTATTGTTAAATAGAATGAAGGACTTCGTAGACGCCCAACTTCGAGACCAACAGGCTGGATTTTGTAAGGATCGACTGTGTACCGACCTAATTGCAAAATTACGGATCATTGTGGAGCAACCAACTGAATGGAACTCACCACTGCTCATCAGCTTCATTGACTACGAGAAAGCATCCGATATTGTGGACAGGACAACACTATGGAGGCTTCTTCAGTACTACGGCGCTCCTGAGAAGATAGTCAACATCATACAGAATTCTTATGATGGATTAAACTGCAAAATCGTGCACGGAGGACAGCTCACAGACTTGTCCTAGATGAATACCGGTGTCAGATAAGGTTGCTTACTCCCACCCTTTCTCTTTCTCCTAGTGGTCGACTGAATTATTAAAACGTCAATATCTGGAGGGAAGCACGGTATGCAATGGACAGCTAGGACGAAGCTGGACGGTGTAGATTTCGCAGATGACTTAGCTCTTCTATCGCACACGCAACAACAAATACAAGAAAGAAGGACCAGTCTGGCAGCAGCCTCCGCATCAGTAGGTCTCAAAATACATAAAGTGAAAAGTAAGTTTCTGCGATACACCAAAGCATGAGCCAGCCAAATCACTCTCAATGGAAATGCCTTGGAGGACGTTAACACTTTTACATATCTTGGCAGCATCATTGACTACCAAGGTGGATCCGATGCCGATGTGAGGGCGCGGATCGGCAAAGCAAGGGCTGCATTTCTACAGTTGAAAAATATCTGTAACTCCAAACAACTTTCAACCAAAACCAAAATCAGGATTTTCAACACAAATGACAAGACAGTTCTACTGTATAGAGCGGCAACTTGGAGAACTACCAAAGCCATCATCCAGAAGATACAAGTGTTTATTAACAGTTGTCTATGCAAAATACTTCGGATTCGTTGGCCAGACACCATCAAAAACAACGTACTTCACATTAGTAACTAATATTTTTGACATTTTTATAAATTAAACGTTATACATAAAATAAAATGTCCAAAACTTCGTTTTTAAATCTTTATATTATTCTGTCAATACATTTACGTTTTTCCATTTGATAAAATGAACTGAATTATTCCAAAGTTATATGTTCTTCCCAGTAATTATCTGAGAGTTGTTTTCATAAATTTTCATTGAGAAGTAGTCTTATTTCATTGTATAGTTAATATAAAATTGTAAATTATAAGTGAACTAAATGTTAAGTGCATGATGATAGTGAATAAGCAACTCTGCTAAATACAATGAACGAATAAGTTCTGGTTATGCAATAGTCTCTCAAACACTTGAGAGACATTTATGTTTCCTTAATTAGTACAAAAAATAATTATAAGCTATAGCAAGAGAATACAAATTTTAAAGTTGGACACCATTTATGGATTATACACCACTAGTAGCTAACATTTACGCTGTAACATGAAATACGAAATATTCTTTTTAAGATTATTTAGTTTACAAAATAGAATGAAGGAAAAGTCCATGAAAAAGTAACGAAGGATGACTGGTACCCAAATGAATATTCACCCATCATTTTGAGTCCCATACTTAAGTATGTTTGCTCCGAATATATTCTAGAATAACATCACATCTGTCAACTTCTGTGCACATTATTTTGAACGTTTCTTTCCAATAATGTGCGTAAGTACAAACTTTAATGACTAAATAACGCAGTGATGAATAAAAATATTCACTTAACTGCAAGTTTTAGCGCATTACTGTATATCTTGATTGTGAATTATTCGTTAACGTATTTTAGACTAACTGTCTAGTATTATCATCCATTTAAAGCATTCATAATTTTGCACTTTTGTTAATCGATAACTCGTTTTTTTTAGTGGAACATCTGAACTACTTATAAATGGTAAGTAACCAGACATTATATTTAAAAATTAGAAGCTGTCTCTGCTGTGGACAAAATTCCTATGACATTTTTTAGTCACATGCTTCCCTGATTCTCATTAAGTTTATATTGAGAAAATCTTTATCATGACAATGAGCTTATTTGACAGTTTCTTTAAAAGATCACAATCCATCAACATGTTTAATTAATCTTTCTAAGAACCCTAAACAGTATTTCACATTCTCAACGGATACTTTAACCAAGATAGAATACACACCATATAAAATTTCCTATCTACCAGCTAACTCAATAACTGTTTGACTATCACTCTAATCTTTTATCTATCAAATGGGGAAAACTAGTCAAACCTAACTGATGAGATATTGGCACCTGAAGAAACGTTGTCTTGGAGATTTAAGAGCGTTAGGAAACACACCTACCTTCAGAGGTTCAGGATTCAGAGGCGGTTTGATAGCTATGTTGTTTTTTTCTATTTTTGTTCTCTCACTAAAATTTTTGGCTATCAACCTTTCAACTCATTTTTACTATCTTTTTTCACTAAGTATGCAGCTTTGAAATACTTTTAATAACTGAAAACATACTTTTGCATTTCCACAAAACCCTATTTGAAAACTAATTACTCCGTTAGATAAATACGCAAATAAACCTCAAGAAAACTGTTTTGTATACAGTTTTAGTGTCACTGATCTTACCCCCTACGAAATACTCCTCATTTGCATTAGCGCACGTGTTAAATCTTTTTTTCATTGCTTAACATATTTCTAGGGGTTTATTGTTATTGAACCTTCCTACAAATTTAAAAAGAGAGAAGGTAAAACTTGAAGAATACGAATAATTCATAATGTTTCACTGCTTTCTTCGTCTAAATAGACGCTGATTCAAAATATTTAAGTATGTTAACAAACCCGAGTATTTCCTTAGAAAGAGAGTTGTTCACTTGCCATATCGTTTATATTTTGACGGAATTATGTGTATAGACGAACTTCTGAAGCTCCATTCACTACTAATCCTCAACATGGGTAACTGGTTGAAGGAAAGCACTCAACAAATAAACGGTTGACCTCAACATAAATTGTCCTTTTGTCTACACAAACTTCACTGAAACACTTGATACTCTTGACAAAACATATTCCTTTAAATGTTTTACTTTCATTTAGGCTTCGAACATCATGAAATTCATGGTAGTTTTTCCAAAAAATGACCGAAAACGTCAGTGGTTCATTTTATGTATTTATTGAAGAGATCATGAAGTAGCTTATTATCTTGAGGGTTCACTTTTTATAAGTTAAAACGATTACTTTGTAAGCTTGACTTCTTGACAACCCATGTATTTCTTGGCCTTGTACATATTTACACAAAAAGTCAGCTATCAAAATTCAAGTATTTTCTTTGTCTGACAGAACTGACGGTTAGTATGTAGCTGTGTTTCATTTACAATTCAAGATAGATACAAATCACAATATGTTTCCCTTTTTCTCTACTTCAACTCTAATAATCCTTGAATAACTTAACTAACTGGTATCTGGCCTCAAGTAAATGATTCAGAATATGTTTTACATATGCACACATTTTACCTACTTTTCTAACTATGGTATATGATCAGTGAACGTTCAGATCAGAAAAATTTTTGTCAGGTCATTAAGATCTTAATTTCATTAATTTCATTTGTCGGGGGTGAATTAGAGTGATACAAAGTTAATGATAATCGATTGACTTTGGCTCATGCGACGCCTAGTAATTAAGGCTGATCTTTTAATTCGGAAGAAGTAGGCCAACTGAGCATATATACCAAGTGTCTGCGTTGTCCAATCCTCTGTCTAAATGTCGATTCATCGTATGACCAATAACTTTTGTGACATAAAATTAATGGTTTGCAAGAACTGTTTCGTATAATAACATCCTTACTTATTTAAACATCAGAAATAATATAGATATTACCTAGTTGAAAAATCCTCATTTTATTGAATGAGAACACAAATAAAAAATTCTTCAACTCAAAATTCTCTTTTTATAATGTAAAAGCAAACTATTATATCAAAAAGTGGGAAGGAAAGTTTAGAGAAGTGTGATTTCATGTTTATCTTTTCTTTTCAAGAAAAATTTGTTCAGTGATTCAGTGCTCTATCATTTCAAAGGTTTATTTATAGTGCCTATTACTAATGTGAGGACAATGGTGCTTATGAAATTAAGAGATTTTCAATATTCTGTTCAGTGTATGAATGTATACCTATCTTTTAGGTGAAACAATATCTGAAATGTTTACATTGGAAGGATAGTCATTATGATTAAATTTATTTCATCGAACACTTCTTCTCTTCTTTTTAGGATGTCTTTTCTTATTTCTCATTTCGACTATTTGTTGAGCTTGTTTCTTTAAAGCACTTCTAGTTAACACATCATTATCATCGAGTTCATCGTCATCATCTATATTAAAATAAAAAAAAGGGGATGATAATATTGTAAAACTCTTGCATTTTAATACAAGTTATACAGTACTTGGTAAAATTTTAACGAAATTTAAAGCATTTAGTAGTTGATCGAAAACTAATTAGTTCATTGTTAGAATTTCGAAAATGTAACCCACAACGGTAACAGTCAAATTCTTTAGTGGGTGAACCATTAAGATTACCACTGCTGAAGTAGATGTGGAACCACACATCGGAAACATACGAGCTACCTTACTTAACCTAATATTACAGTTTTATCAGCGTAAACTTCAACTGTTCCAATGCTATTGTTGGAAACATTTTATGCACTTCCAATAATTATTATACTCTAATGAGGGAGGTGTTCAGATAATCGATAGCCTGTATAAAAATTTAAACCAAGATTGATGTATATATATAAATATTTGAAAAAATATGGTTATGCAGTACTCACCGTCAGGATTACCTTCATGCTTCGCGCTTGGAAATTGTATTCTCATATTGTTATCTGGTAATTTGCTATCAAGCTTTGCATAGAACTTGAATATAATTTTTTGAAAGAAAATATATATTACTGATTTTGAAATAGTAATAAAAATAACATAAATAAGACTGAAATTATGGCAAAACTTCCTCTGTCTGATGTAAATATACATTAACTTTGTTGCATAACAAAAATTCTGTTACATTGTTCAGAGTTAAGTAACACTAAGAAAGTGTATGAAGATAAAATAGAATTTGGGATTATTTCAATCAATAAATTATTGGAATTTGAAACCAGTTGACTAAAAGTAATTAATGGTTATAATTTCCCGACCGTAGCTGCTACCTCGACGTGGTGGTCGAGCTTGCCTATCGTGATGACCCAACCGAGCTATACTGGCTGGAACATATGTTCCTGAAGGTCCTGCCATGCCAGGCTGGTCGATTGGAGAACGATGAGACTAAAAGCAGCTGCCCAAGGTCTGAGGACGAAGTCGTACTGCTGACTGCAGAGGGGTGTGACAGCAGTAAGGTGTTTCCCTCGGACAACCAGCATCTGCAGCGATGCTGCCTTCTCATAAGGAAGGAAGGGTTAGAAAAGGTCGGCTCTAAAAATGTCACACCTCCCCCACCTCACGGATTTCCGTCTCCTTGGGTAAGGGTGCCCACTAAGGGCCTTTAAGAACGGAGCTAATCCTCAAAATATTTTTCATAAAAATGCCGTGCGTGACCGGCCTCAAGCAGTTATCCCTTGGACTCTGTGGTCACGCTCCCAGGTCTCGAAGACCAACACTAATCTATCTTACTTGTCAGGTTCTTCAAGAAGCAACCTTCCACGGTGTGGGGAGTCGGGAAGCGACAACCGCCCACATACCCGACCAATCTGGTCGAAATCAAATCCTTCCTACACCCCCTAATGTCTCTCTTATCTCTACGACTAACTCTACTCACACTCCCTTTTCTCACTGCACCGCTAATGCAGACGAAGCGAGATCACGAAACGTCGTTCCTGGTCTCCTTAAACCCCGTTCTAGTCTACATGCTGGAGCATTTAATGTACGGACATTGTGTCAAATAGGGCAACAGGCATCATTAGCTAGGACTTTAGAATCTCGTGCCATCGATGTATGCTGCGTCTCGGAAACGCGCATACAGGATCCTAGTAAAATTATTAATCTGATTTCACCTTGTCAAAATAAAGAAGTAGCTCGATTTACTCCTCGTGTATCTGGAAGCCCTGATGCTGCTTCCAGGGGTCTTGCTGGCGTAGGCATAGCATTGAGTCGTAGAGCTGAACAATCTCTCCTTGACTGGATCCCAGTAGATAGTCGATTGTGCGCTGTCCGACTAAACGGGACAGTAAGGGCTCGGAAAGATAGGGACACTCGCCGTTGCCTCTTCGTCGTAGCTGCAGTTCAGACGATGTAAAAGATGAGTTCTAAAGAATGGTTTTAATTCACATTATATATATACATTTATATACAATTAAGTGGCGAATTGGTTTTTGAAACAGAAAGGGAAATAAAGCCACCCAATTTACAGTTAGTGTCTGTTTTCTGTGGAACCACACGCAAAATTAAAAGTGGGTAAAAGATAAGTCATTACTAGGTGATTTATGCTCATCAATTCAATCGACTTATTGATCATTCTTTTTATTTGAAGATGAACTCATATTTATGATATTTTAATTAAATATTTTGGAAACAGACAACGCTTATTATTCTTCAATCCTATTCCTCAAGAATGTATCTAATCTATAGAATAGGGCTCATTTTTTTTCTTCCTCCGAAATAAAATATCACTTTGAACGTCACAATTATTCTCATATATTTTAATAAATTTGTTGAGTCTTCAATACAGCACATGTTGATCAGTGACCAATTTCAAACTTATCTAGCTAGCCCTCAGTACTCATCAAAATTCTGTCAATTTTAATTTCAGATTGTGCCAGTTTTTTATTTTATTTTAATATCACCCAATAAAGGTAATTAAATAAAATATCTTAAAAAAAATTCACTTACTTCTTCTTGTTCTATCAAATTAAGTTGTTCTTCAATATTAATATCATTCAAACTGTCCATAAGTTCATCTAATTTATTATTACATATTTTCAACATTTCTGGTATATCATTAATATCAATAACATTTTGTTCAGCTACTAATTTTTTTTCTTCACCTTCTTTATGAAAATGTTCCACACCTTTTGTGATATTCACATTGAGAAAAGATAATTTATCATAAATATGATCAACTCCAGTTTTACATTCAGTTAGAAGACGATTAGCACTTTCAACATTTTCATAACACTTTACACGACGTTCTGCTTCTATTTGTGCTTCATTTTGGTATTGTTTTATCACTTGATTAGCACTATTATAAAAAAATATTTTACTAAAAATTAGCTTCGTGATTATGGATGGAATTACAAAATTCCTAACATTATATCCATAAAAACTGTTTAAATTTAATCTACATTAATTTTTCCCAAAATTACGGAACTGTAATGGAATTTGAATTATTCAAGTACTTACTGATAGCCATAACTTAAGTAGCATCGGTGTATGCTATAGGAGTTAAACTTTCTAACAGTTTTAAAATTCCATACAAAATCAGTAGTTTTCTATTGTTCAGATGACGATAAACAGAATTTCAGCTCTCATAATGCTGCCAGAATTCAAGATTCAATAGTACTACAATGAGTCATTACTTAAAGAAACGCTTACAACTATGCTATGTAAAACAACTTAAAATATTTTAAAATACCTTTCTAATTCCGCTTCACCGGAATATTTAAGTTCCTCGTATTCTTGCTGCAACTGATCCCTTTGCTTACGAAGTTTCTGGCATTGTTCTTCAGCCTTGTCTTTCAATTCATTTAGATTTCTTAAAGTTTCTCCTTGACTTTCGAATCGTTTGACAATGTGATCAAGATCAGACAGTCCAGTGACTTCTTTAATAGTCTGAAATGACTCTTCAAATTTAAATATTTTCATTTGTTGTTCTTCTGTTGCACTTATCCCGCCTGTTCCGGAAATTCGGTCTCCAGTCCCAATACTGCCGCCTTGGACACTTCCGCTCTGTACGTCAGCAGATGAATCTCTACCTTGCTAAATGTTGCGCGAAACATTACACACAAAATTCTATAGGTTGTTATTTCAATAAACTAATCTGGATAGACACACTATATATATCCACCCAAAAGTAATGAAAACAAATCGTCATTGTGTCAATTACAAAAGAAGGTTAATATCCAATGGATTATCTCAATTGTTCTGCTTTTATATGGAATTATTGTGTTGATAACTTCTGACAACAATATTAAGCATTGAATTAGTGTTTCTAGCGGTTTCAAACAAGCATGAAGTTTGAGCATCATATTGTGGCTTCCAAACAACTGGCTAACAGTTGCCACTATTTACTATGGTAGAAACAGGTGTATTTATTTATTCAGAACACCCATAAGTTCTAACTGTGAAAATGGAGTTGAGATATTTTTAAATGGCTTTAATCCAGTAAGCTAGAGGAATAGCAGTGTATATACTTTTACGCACAAAGAGATTTATTAATTTTGACGGAGACTAATGTAGGGATTGACAATGGATACAAGTGTATTCCCGGGGTTACGGTTGCATTATCACTACTGTATCTTTGAGAATGCTTAAAACTGTAATAAACCATGAAATACGAGCACACTGAAGATGATTAGTGGCTACCTCATGTTCTGATTTAAATACACCGTGAAGTTATTGAATGCCGGTCTGAGCCATGTTGGTGGATGCAGAACATCTGGCTAGTATTGGTGTGATAATTTGATCAATCGTTGGGGAATTCAGCTCAAAATCGTTCATAATTTTTTGGATGTATTCACAGGATTACTTCATATATATCTCCCCCTTGACTTATCTTAACCTTTTTCTCGGTGCTTTTTTGCATTTTGATATGGAATCATTTGGATCTTTTGGCCTCTATCTTATTAGCTTTATCTCGTCATCGTACTATGGTTTATAGACTTATTAACACATATCTATGATAAACTTCTTGTCGGTGATAATGATGAAAGGTTTTCGCCTGGTGTATGAATCATACGCTTTTGTCATTCAGTTCCTTCTCGATTTTAAAGAAGGGTGTCGGTGAACCACGTTTTTTCTAGCTGACTTCAGTACCAATCAAAGTAAGATATTAAATGATATGTCTTGTAAACTTAAAAGAATGTATCATTCACATTCATCAGTCATATGTATTGAATCGTTGTATTGTGTTTCAGTGATAAAATTTATGCGTAATAAACGTAAAAAGTGCCCGGGTTAATGCTGTGATTTGTTAAAGCGATATGATTGATTCAACAGGGTCAGTTGCTTTCCTAAGACGAGCCCAACACAAGAAGAAATACCTGAGCAAACTAACTTATCTAAACAGTATGTAGTTCTGTAAGCCTTCCATATTCATGCTGACCTCATTAACTTTATCGAAAACGCCCTAGCTAAAAGCACTCGGTCCAGCATTCAAACCAGATCACCGTGGGGAATGGTGTGCAACGCATTTTCCCGTATTAACTTGAAACCTCAGTCCACTCAACCCACGACACCTCAACCACCATTCAAATATACCTCTGATCCTCCTTAATCCTGACTTCTAGTTTGACTTGGCTATGGATCTAGACCTTAATGATGTTGTCAATAAAAGCGTTGTCCAACTCTGAATATCTAAGTCACAAATTTTACCATGGGTAGGAGTTAAATAATTGCTTGAATAATCATATTTTGTAAATAAGCTGTTCTCTTAGTAGGTTCATTTTAAGCGCAGCTTACTTGATATTCACCCTTATCAAAAGCGACCTTTTTTCCTTCGGCCGTTCTCCTCATCTTTGCGAGTTCGATTTCTCGACGTCGGCGTTCACGTGCAATATGTTCTTCTTGAAACTTCAACTCTTGTTGTGCTGCATCTCTAGCTAGGGTGGCATCATTGTACATTTGTTGTAGTTCTAAAATTTCATCTTGAGTGGCTTTTATTTGTTTTTCAAGGGAGTCAAGGTTGTGCTCATATGTTAGATGTTCCTAGAAAGCCAATTATATGTATATTTACAACTAACATGTTCAAGCTTTTCTTTTATTTGTTCATAGGTTTTTCTGATGTGTTCCGCTTCATGGTATTTTAGCTGAGCCTTATCAAGTCGGTTTTCCAAGGTTCTTAACAATTTCCCCTCTTTGTTGGTTCCTGCGTCAGTTGCGTTTCCGTATTCAATAACTTCCATAATCTCTCTATACCGGGATTTAATCTGTTCAATCTTCTTCTCTTTTTGAACGATCACATGTTTCAAAGAATTAAGTTTCTTTTTCGCATCACATGTGCGATAGTCCAAAAGTTCGACCACAACCTTAAAATATCGGGTATATTCATATAATAGTCACTTACAGCCCCAGTTTTGTTGGCCATACAAACTCTATCAACCTGTCGATTGTGTAACACATAGTTGATAATGTGTTGATCAGCCTTTCACAAAAGAATAAACCAAATTACATGCTACCGAAAGCCTCTCACGGAGGACGTTTCTTAGTTTGCTATTCTCATGACGAAGGTCTAATACTCGTTGCTTATTTTCCGTAACAGCTTGTTTTGAATTTTCGAAATATGCCTTACGATCACTTTCTGAGGAAATAAAAACTACGTTCGCTTACCCAGCAGTGCTATCTTCGCCTTCATATCGTCAAGCCGTTGTTGAGTTATCGGTTCCATTTTCCTAAACTTACAAAATCCCGCTCCTTTCTGCTACTGGGCAACCAACACTCCAATATCCAATATCCTTTTCAAGAGCTAGTATTAACCAGTTGATTTCTTTGCTCTCGATTCTTGTTCTTGTATTCTTGTGTTTGATATTGTCGAATGGATTGAGGTCTAGACACTTGACTGCATTCATCTTAGTCGGTAAACAGTTGTTTGTGGGTTTGTTTGTCCTGGGATTTGAATGAGTGCGTTGTTTCCGTGTACCAACAGCTCTCATGTTATCAGGCCGGAGATCACTTAGTGACAATGTGGAGAGTAATAAAAAAAGTGTAGTGCTAGTAAGAAGATTTCAGAACTAAGCATCTAAATGAAGATTGTGCTAGAGGACCGAAGTGTAATCGAGGAAAAGGAAAAAGAGATAGCAAGTGAGGTAGATTAAACAATATTAGAAATGATTCTGGAGTGGTGGCACCAGGTTTTCTCTGAATAAAGTGAATAGTTGGATTATCTTTGGCTGCGTCCGTGGTTGTTAAACCGAAATCGTATTCTGAGGAGTCAGAGAGCGGACTTCCACATAGTATATAAGTCGTTTCTTTCCAGTGGGGCGGAATGTGCATAACGTGACATCTCGGCTGGTTTGTAACAGTCTGGGTCCTTCCTATCTCAGCTTTTGAAGATTGGAGAGAGAATAGCTTGTTTCCGTTCGGCTGGGAGTTGGTGTAAATCCAGCTAATGCCTGAACAGTTCGGATGTTGGTTAACAGAGGGCTTTTGCACACTGTTTCATTATTATGGGGTGAATATTATCACACCGTGATGACTTGCTGTCATGCAACGATCTTAATTTTCTACTAGGCCAGGAGTAAGTCGAATATTACCTAAGCAATCAAGTGGCACTATGTTTGAGTTGTACAGTGAATTTGTAGGTACATGGTTTATTTTATTGGTGAAGTTTGTGTTGAAGATCTCAACCACTTCTAGGTTGGTGGGATCCTGGCCATTTGGACCTTTGAGGGTGCAAACACCCTAGTTCGTAGTTCTTTTTGACATGAACCCTAGCAGTTACTTAGAGTTAATCTGTATTTTGGTAAATAGCTTCATCAGAAAGTGTCTCCTATCATTTCGAACTTCGGCAGTGAATCTGTTTGTCAATGCCAGGTAAGAACCACAGTCGGAATCCTGCAGTAAGACCTTCCACTTGTACTAGGCTCTTCGCATGTGGTAAGCGTTCAGAACCTCGCTTAACCTGAGTTCTTTGCTTTCCGGTGTGTGATGTGACGGAGGTATATTTTTTGGGACAGCGTTATGAATGATGTCTCTCACTGTTTGCCAGTGATCAACTGCCATCAGCCTCTGCTGTTTCCGTGGCCATGGAGCATGTAGAAGATTACCTCTCATACACGTGTTATTCGCCCTAGTATAGCGAAGGTAAGCCCCGTTTCCGTCCTGCTTGAGTGTTTCGCTCATGACCATGTTGAACAAGACAGTGGCATGGTCACTACTTCCTATTGATGTATGGTCGTGAACATCCTCGACCAGGAGCTGATCATTTGTTAACAAATAATCCAGGTTTGAAGTTTTTCCATCCTTAGTCCATCTAGTGGCACTGAATCCAGGCCCAGTCATCCCAGAGATTCTAATGGCTGCACCAAGTCGTCTTCGGAAATAACCAGTTGGATTTCTACTATGTTATCTCAGATTACGAGTTGAAGTGTTGAAATCTCCAGCGAACAGTATTGGATCAAACCCAAGAGGTGGCAGTTGCAGTATTGCCTAAGCAAGTTTATCTTTCTGAGCCTTAGTCCTTGAGAGGACCGATAAGTCCCTCTAATCACTGATTCCGTTCCATTAGTGTGGAAACAAAGCCAACATGATACTTTCACATCGGTTAGTTGGGTGCTGTGTGGTCTTTCGACTTCTGAATGGTTTTTAATATACATAGTTACTCCGTCTTCTGTACGGTGTACCCTAACGCACCGGTAGTGCCATGCCTAGCAAACTTACTTGATCGTCTGCAATGTTGGGGGATAGCCATGTTTCAGTTAGCATTATGGTCTTCGAATCCATCTGAGAGCACACTATTGCTTGCCCCTTAGTTATTATGTTGCTACAGAGACAGTTAATGGTTTGTCATATCACATGGTGTACCTCTATACCGTCTCTAGAATTTTTGGCCTCACGCAGGGAAATTCAACCATTAGGTGACTCAATTGTCATCAGTGTCAGTCCTCAATTGATTAACAAAATCGCGCGATGATCTACAATCGTCTTGGATGAGTTGGTACCCCGCAATCGATACAGATGAACTCCAGTGGTCATAGCATCTCACAAGATAATTCTCATATGGGTTGCGGAAGTTGCTGAGTTTCAATGTAAGCATGAACAGATCAATGAGAGATAGTTACTAAACAAAGACAGTGGTGGATGGTAGCGCAATTTCGTAGATTGACTGAAGTTTCAATAAAAGCCAGTTATATCCGGTGACAGGTGCAATCAAGTATAGAATGATTTTATCTTGTGATGTAAGGTAATCAAGACAAACACCACGTGCAGAAACTAACAATATTATTATTTAATAGTTACTTTGCGCCATTTTACAGATATGATCTCTCTGGTCCAGCTACACTTCCAAAATGTGATTGCAAACAAAGTAGGTACGCAGGAGTGACTCACAAAATAGTGTTTAAGGAGGTTTACTTGCGAAGTTTTTGTGTTTTTTGGTAGGTCAGTAAGTTTACATTTGTTAGAAAGTGTCGATTGAAAGGCATATGGTATTATATTGTTTAGGTAATTGTACATATTCCTTTTTTGATTAATAATAGAACCGTTCTTACCCAGAAAACTTAGCAGTTAGATGGATTGTAGAGGATATGGAACCGACGTTTGCCGAGCTCATTGAATTTATATTAACTCGTGCAAGAGTAGTTGGTAGTAGATTTGGACGGCTAGCTAATCGCCCAAAAATGGGACGGGGTGTGAAGATGAGTTGTCGCCTGCAATCGGAACACGCGAATGTGTACTTTAGCGTAAGTACTAGCGACCACGTTGTTTGTAAGTGTCCCCAATTTTTAGCGCTCACAGTTCGAGATAGATGGACTCACGCCAGGAGAGTGGGGATGTGTTTCATCTGTCTGACGCGAAAACATACGGCTAGCGACTGTAGGACGGCAAGGCGTTGTATCGTTGATAGGTATAAGAAAAAACATCATGTTTTGCTGCACAAGGATTTGACCATCAACAAATTGGACGACAAGCGGGATCCTCGGCATTTCTGTGGACTTACCAGATCACTAAGCAGTCAGGGGTAAAAGAACGGCAGGGATTACGAACGCCACTTTCGAAGTGTATTTTTTAGATCGGTCGAAACATATTGTGATTGAAGGGGCTTTGATCGTATCAAGCATTCCAAGGCATAAGCCTACGATGTCGGCAATGACGAACCTAATTAAGTGGCCGCGCTTGAATGATATACCAGTAGAAAGTCAAGACTCCGAAGACGTTCTAATGCTCATTGGTTGTGATGTACTGGGAGGAATACACCATATGCGGTAAAATCATTACTGGGATGGGCTATATTCGGCCCTACATCATACCCGGAATATTGGAAAAGGGTTGTTAATCATGTGAGTAAAGTACAAATATTGGAAGACCACGTCCATTCTAGTGACATGTCAGTATCTGTAGAAGACAAGGTCACCACTGAAATCGTAGGGAGAGGCACAAATTTCAAAGACGGTCATTTTGTAGTTCCGATACCATGGAAACGGAACCCATTCACGAATGGGACGAATTATAAAGTGGCAAGCTATAGGTTACAGAGCTTGAAGCGAAGATTGATGAGGGACCACAGGTTACATGTCAGATATACTAAAGGTATGTGTAGAATTCTTTTTGAATGTTTTGTTTTTTGGAAAATCCCTCCATGTTTACATATTTTTGCTATGACATGATGGACTTTTTCTCTTGACATTTTTGGTATTTTATTTGAGTCCAATTTGAGATTTTATCATTGTATATTGTTATTCTTTCTATATTTGTACTTATATTGAAGATTTTGTGTTTGCTTCTGAACTGTACATATATTGTTTAAATTTGATATAATATGGCTACCGCCACATTTTTGGACGGACGCGGTGGCTGCTGGACTTAGTGTCACTTATTGGTCATTGTGGCGGATAATCTGCGGAGTAACTTAACCCTGGAAGAAAC